TGAACCCAAAGCCTATCTCTCTTTACTTCTGAGGCTGCCCAGGAAAAGAGGAAGATGGACAATCAGCGCGGGATGTCCTAACTGGCATGTTCTGTCAGTCAACATCTCTATTTCACTGTAAGAGTTGTTTACAATACCCAAGTGTCTCAAGCAGGGCACACACGTGGTATGCATGTGGGTTCTCAGAATCTGATGGTCCTTGATCTTTCCGAGTACGCTTAAGAGAGAAAAAGCAAGCAAAGATCCTTTAGTTCTTGCTGTGGGAGGCAGTGTATTTGTCCATGAGGCTTATACTGCTCTTATAGTGATACATCCAAGACATTTTTAAAGCTTTTTTTATTATAGGAATCTCATCACTTTAGAGGATGTGTGGACTTCCTTGTACTTTCACAGTAAACCATCATTTCCAAGAAAATGGGAAGAGATGCCAGGGAGAGAGTTCTGCGGTCTGCGTCTTGCCGAGTCATCTGAAGGACAGGGAACACTGGATCACCTCCTAGAGGAAGAAGCTGCTCTTTGTGCCTGAGGTCGGAAGGATGTTGCCATCCCCTCGGAATGTCCATGGCAGACTCCTCACATTGTCAGAGCCCCTCTCGGCCAGCTTGTTGCTTCCTCACTCCCCTCGGAAGCCGGAAAGGACATGTGTTTCCTCACACCCACTGCTTTTCTCCTCCAAGGGCCAGGCGTGGGTTCGTGGGCTGCCAGTGAGCGCAGCAGCTGAAGCCACCACAGATTATGTCGTAAAGAATTTACGGTAGTTTCCAACCAGCAAAGATGACTGTGCATCCTACAACTGGGCTTCATCAGAAAGGAGCTGCTCCTCTTGACAAGCCCAGCTGCCAGCTGACTTTAAAACCTAGCTCTTCTCGGGCTCACAGATGCCAAGGAGGAACTGCATTATTAACACGCGGACGACAATGACCACTGCAGACGCGTCCACTGCCTCTGTCCTCCCAGCCTCCCTCTTGTTATCCCTACCGGCTGCTTTCCTTCCCCAAAGCCTGATGCTATTTAATGCACTGTTATTGAATTTGAAAATGGCTACAAGCCTTTTGAAAAAAATAGCCCATTAGGAAACATAAAATAACCAGAGCAGACTCTAAAGTGATTTTGGAAAATGACATGGGCCGATAATGCCAACACTTCACTCTACCAGCCTTCCCTACCTCCTTCAGGGTTATATGCTTGCATCCTGCAGTTGTCCTTGAGGTAAGTGGTCTGTAAAACATTACTGAGGTAAAACTGAATTACAGCCTGATCTCACATGGGGCTCCCCTGATAAGATCTTTTCTGTGTAAAGCTTGGTGAGTTGTGCTTTTGTACAGTTCCCCCTTCCCACCCCCCCCCACCCCCGTCTCACTATATGAATCCTCAACCCCAGGATTGAGAGTCTCCTCCTGTTTTTAAGTAATTTATTTATCACTGGGTTTTGCATTAGATACCGTAAGCAGTCCAGGATGTTCAAGAGCACAACCTCTGGGAAATGGCACTTTCCCCTCTCTCATAAGGTCCTCCAGCTATCTTCATACTTATCTGTTTCCAAATGACTGTAGCTTTTATTTTCTCTCTCATGTTATCGTCATGGGTCTTTTAATGTTGATCTGTTAGGAACTTGCAAGCTCATGCTCAGCCTCTCATTCGTGTCTGACTCTTTGCAACCCTATAGACTGTAACCCACCAGGCTACTCTGTCCATGGGATTTTTCAGATGAGAATACTAGAGTGGGTTGCCATTTCCTCCTCCAGGAGATCTTCCCCACCCAGGGGTCAAACCACGCAGGGATGTCCTGCATCTTCTGCCTTGAAGGCAGATTTTTCACTGCTAAGCCATCAGAGAAGCCCCTCTTAGGAGCTTAGTACCTTGCTATCTCAGTATCCTGAGCTGCAGACGTTTATTGCTAATGTCATGGGCAATGTTTCTTCCTAAGATGTTTCATTCATTCAGCCCAGGGTTTTTGGAAAACCAGCGGCATTAACCAGCAGTGGTTCAGAAACCTGGGGTAAGTAGGGGTAAGCAGGCCAGGTGAACAAGACTGGGCAAAGAACAGTTTGAGGAAGTCCTGGAGGCACGCCCAGTTTGAAAGCGCTGTTTTGCATTTTGAACAGAGGGAGCAGTTTAAGGAAGGGTTTGGAGGCCCGGCAAGTCTGGAGCATTGTAAGCATTGTAATTCAGTAAGGCTGGGGTGGGAGGAACTCTGAGGGACAGAAAGAAGAGAGGCGAGGGGACCCGGGGCATAGATAAACTTGCTTTAATATACCCACAGGCCAACAAAATGCCCCCTGCCTTTGTGCATGAGTGCTAAGTCGCATCCCACTCTTTACGATCCCAGGCTCCTCTTGTCCATGAGATTTTTCAGGCAAGAATACTGGAGTGGGTTGTCATTCCCTTTTCCAGGGGATCTTTCCAACCCAGATATATTCTTTACTGCTAAGCCAGCTGGGAAGCCCATGCTTTGATTACTAGCCAAAAGTCTGATCAAATGCCTTGAATTTTAGATAGACACACACACTCACCCTTCTTTACTTTTGGGAGGGGGGATTTTTAAAGTTTTTTTAAACATCAGGGAAGCCTGAAGAAACTCTTTAATCCTGAGGAAAATTAATATATTATAAGCACAAAACAGAAATCAGTGTTCACAAATCTAAAAAGAAATTATACAAATGAACTTACTTACAAAACAGAGACTCACAGACTTAGAAAACAAACTCATGGTTGCAGGGGGGAAGGGATAGTTAAGAACTTTGGGAAGGTCATGTACACACCGCTGTACTTAAAATGGATGACCAACAAAAACCTATTGCATAGCACATGGAACTCTGCTCAATGTTATGTGGCAGCCTGGATGGGAAGGGAGTTTGGGGGAAAATGGATACATGTATATATATGCTGAGTCACTTTTCCATTCACCTGAAACTACCACAACATAGTTAATCAGCTATACCCCAACACAAAATGGTTTTGGTGTTAAAAATATAAAGCGAAACAAACAAAAAAATTTACTTTAATGTCTTGACATACAAAAATTTATATGTAATTAATGTATGCAACTTGATAAGCTTGGGGACAAACACAGTCTTTCTATCACCTCCAAAAGTTCTTATTTATCTGTCTATCTCTTTGGGGACAAGGAGGAATCTCTTTTTAATTTTTTTACAAAACAACTTTTTATTGAAGTATAGATTATCTATTATTATTAGCTTTACTTAAAAAAAAAAAAAAATTTGGCCATGTTGAGTGGCTTTCAGGATTTTAGTTCCCAGAGTAGTGATCCCGCCTGGGTCCTGACAGTCAAAGCACTGAGTCCTAATCACTGAACTGCCATGAAATTCTCCAGTTTTCTTGTTATCCTTTTGATTCAAAAATACTATGCCCCATCATTAGTAGGACTGTGATTGTGGCACATGAGATTTGATATAATTGGTTCCCCTTCTACAGCCTCCATATATTCATGTATTTGCTAACTGTTCAGTTAAACACTTTGCTTACAAGCTCCTTTTCAAAATCATCTTTCCATCCTAAATAGTGGAATATATAAAGCATAGGAATATATCCATATAATTCAAGTTGAGGTTTAGAGTCATTCCATAAATCTATGTGCTAGATTTGGGGAAATTCTGAGAAAATTGAAAAATTACATGTGCAATGATATAGACATTTAATTAGCTGTTAATTAGAGAAAACAAAATACCTTAGTCTGTAAAGACTGTTCATTGCTTAAATCCCCAATGTGAAAGGCTGCAGTTTACACGCCAGCCCCTTGCACAGCAGTGGGTGTGAATAATTCTCCCCTCGCTGATGCCCATGGCTCTCCATCTGTCGATACATTACTGTCTGAATTTCGACAGCGAAGGCATATTTTTAAAATCTTGTCTTCCTTTTTGCATTTCACTCTGATTTTCTACCGAAGCAATGTTAATTTCAGCTCCGGCAAACAGTGGTCCCAGCTCGTTAGGAATGAGGACACTTCTACAGGTCCTTTTTCTGATCATCATAAATTATGAGGTGACACTGACAGAGGTGAAGTCAGATCTGTTTGACCTAAGAGAGCCAGGCAGAGAATCAAATGGTTTTTAAATGGAATGAAATGCTGGCATCTTGGTTTCCAGGCTTTGAGAGTCAAAAACACAGTGAAAATAATTTAGATCACACACATACATCACTTTCTCTTCAATGAGAGTATCTAATAATAACCAACATTTTGGTGGAAATTCAGAGATATGCAAAGCCAACAAAGAGTTTGGGGTACTGATTTGCAAATAAAGATGAGAGGTACCAAATCTAAAGATGTAGATAGCAATTTAACTGAAGGAGGAACTGAAAGAAATATAATTTGAAAACCTCTGGGTTCTAGAAGAGTGTTTTTTTAAACTAGGACATAGAAAATTTTAGCAAGCACACATACATACACACAAATAGAAAATGAAAAAAGAAATCTGTAATTGAAGAAGGGACAATCTCTTAAGGAAAAGATAATCATGAAATAATAGTGGTTTTTGTACATCCATATTAAAATCTAAAGCCCAGTCAGGTGTTTTAAGGTTTATTGGAAAGGATGTACAGATATAAAACAATTCTATATACAAAGAATTGGTATTTAATGGACATGGCGGTCTCCCTCTTAGATCTCCTGTCTGTCCAAATCTGTCCAGTTCCTGTCGTCCAACTACACCCCCTGGCCTTACTGACAAACCTGAGCCTTGGGAGGAATTCTGGCACCCTGTGAAGAGTTGCTGTTTAATATTGATTTTTAATGCCAGCTTTGTTCCGCTCCCCCCCCCCCCCACCCCCTCGTTTGTGTCTTGTTTTCTTTTTCTCTGTCCTTAGCTGAAGCTTCTTTTGACTGAACATGGACTCGTCTTTAAGGCTCACTCCCACCTAGAAATCTTGATGGAAGAAAACAGGAAGTGACCCAGAAAGCATCTGATAACAGAGCTCACTACTGTAGGTCTCTGCAAAGAGTGATGCTGGAGAATCTCGGTGTTACCTGGCTGCAGAGTGCGATGGAGCAGGTGGAACGTGCCGCTGGAGAACCCAGGGCTCCAGCGGCTTCCGCGGCCAGCACTTCCGCCGAGTGCCGCGCGGGGGCGCTGCGGGGCCGCCGCGTCTCCCTACATTTCACGCTGAGCCTGAAACCTAGAAACGCCTACGGGGTATTAAGCCTGGGAGGGGGCGAGGACTGGAAGCTGGAGGCCAGATACTGAGAACCACGATCCTGTTCGCTAAATGGAGACTTGGATACAAGTCAGGTTAATCTTTAAACACCAGGACACTTACAGATTTGATGTTGGGTGTTAGGGAGGTCGGAGAAGGAGACTTACTAGAGGCAGTGACCACGCCCTCCTTGGAGAGCAAACTTACTCCTCCCAGGAAAACAAAGCCCTGCAATCTGGGGACATTTTCCCAAGGCAGCTTGCTGATCATCTGCCGTTTCTTGAGCTTGTCCCAGGAGGGGCTCACTCCCACCCCTGCCCCACCCCACGCTGCCCCACCCCCAAGCAGCTTATGAAAAGAATTCCTTCCAATACCCCCAAGACGCTTTCTGAAAGCAGTTCTGGCAAATATGGTTTCCATTTTCTCTTTACATCCGCAGGGATTTTAGTATCCCGCGCAGTAACCAAGCTCCGGGGAAAATAAAGAAGGCGTGTGATCTCAGAGCTGCCTCTTAGGACGAGTGGACTGCTCATCCCGCTGCCCCTTCCTGTGTTGGGCTATGCAGAGCCCGGGGGTGGAGGAGCCTGTTAATTTGAAGTCTGCCCCTCCAGTGGATTTAAAGTGTCAGGCTATGTCCTGGTTCAGTCCAGAGTAGTCTCAATGTATACTCTTCCTTCAATATCGTGTTTCAGTTTTTGCTGAAGGATTCTGAGAGGCACAGAAGTATCTGGTAGCATGGCACAGGCTGAGGTCCTGAAGAGCTGATGCTTTCGAACTGTGGTGTTGGAGAAGACTCTTGAGAGTCCCCTGGACTGCAGGGAGATCAAACCAGTCAATCCTAGAGGAAATCGACCCTGAAGATGCATTAGAAGGACTGGTGCTGTAGCTGCAATACTTTGGCCACCTGATGCAAATCAAAGACCGACTCACTGGAAAAGCCCCTGATGCTGGGAAAGATTGAAGGTGGGAGGAGAAGGGGATGACAGAGGATGAGATGGTTGGATGCCATCACCAACTCAATGGACAAGATGTTGAGCAAACTCCGGGAGACAGTGAAGGACAGGGAAGTCTGGCCTGCTGCAGTTCTTGGGGTCGAAGAGTCAGAATCAACTGACTGACTGAACAAGAACAACAATGTATTGTCACAAGACTACAGATCAGACGCGTAGATAAAACACTAAGAGGCATGGGCGAGCACAGAAAGAAGCAACCTCTTTGGGCAGGAGGCTCAAGGAAGATCTCTCAAAGGACAGGGGAACTTGTTGGGACTCCAAGGGGTGAGGAAGGTTTGAGTGGCTGGCATGAATTATGTGGGGCTGAGAACCAGGCATCCTGTCAATCAGTATCTATCCAGGGCTCATTTTGGAGAAGGAACACATTCTAGGGAGTGTCCCTAGTGCTCTGAAGATAGTAAGCTGACCACACTGTTAGATCTTGAGGGCTCGTAGGAGAAATAGTTGGAGAGGTTAAGGCCAGTTTGCTGAGTCCTTTGAAGACAAAACAAAAAAAGTTTAAAATTGACTCTGTGGGCCAGAGTTTCCCACAAGTACGGGTCACACTGGTGTGAGTTGATGAGTTAGAAGTGAGTGGAGGTAGTGACCCACTTCAGGGAGGCTGGATGGGGGTGAGGCCTGGACTTCCCAGACCAGGGAGCTTCTTTCCACTCAGCAGTGTACCCCCGTGTCCGTGGGAATATTATCCTAGTCTGTATTTGCCATGACTTGGAAATGTCTGGCTGTCACTGCTCTATAGACTTGAGTTGCTAAAGACACTGGGACATGTGTGTGATATTTTGAGTTGTAATTTTATTTTCCTCCCCAACTAGATTATAAACCCCTCCAGGAGAGGAACTCTGTCGTTTCTCTCCGCTTGTTCCCATTTTGCCACATAGGGAGTAAACGCTCAAGAGGCACATGATAGTTTGAGTAATTGAATATTATGGCTTTAAATAACTAAACCTCACAAATCATCTAAGACTGCTCTGCTTGCTTCTGAGAAGGCTTAGAAATCATAAAAGTCTGAGTGGGAGTAACTCTAAGACATGAGTCAGAAAACTGTACTTCAAAGGAATGTGAAAACATTTCTGCTGGTGGTCACGTTTAGAGCTGTCAAGAAAGAAAGATCAGAGAGTCTCAAATGGGGAATAGTATAAAGAAATAATTCTCTCAGTTAAGACCTGGGTTTTTGGTCTTGAAGAATCAAGGATGGTTCATTTGCATATTAGAAACCTTCTGAGCATAAGTCTACTAACATTCTATTTACCAGTCATCAGAATAACAATATTTTCCTCCTTAAACCTATCTTTACTCTTAGGTGGGGTGGGTCATGAAGTTTCACTTAAAGGGAAAGGGACAGAAACTGCTTGGTTGTCCCTCAAGATGCTAAGCATACAATTATGCTGCATGCATGTGTGTTAAGTCATTTCAGTCATGTCCAACTCTTTGCAACCCTATGACTGTAGCACACCAGACTCCTCTGTCCATGGGATTCTCCAGGCATGAATACTGGAGTGGGTAGCCATGCCCTCCTCCAGGGTATCTTCCCGACCCAGGGATCGAACCTGTGTCATTTACCACTTGTGCCACCTGGGCAACCCCTAGAATTACCATATGACCCAGTAGTTCCATTCCTAGGTATCTACCCAGGAGAAATGAAGATATATGTCCACACAAAAACTGTTAATTGCATAGAGGCATTATCATAGCCAAGTGTGTAAACAGCTTAAATGTCCATGAACTGGCAAATGGACAAGTAAAATACACTATTTCCATTCAATGAAATATAATTCAGCAATTAAAAGGAATTACTTACTGATCCATGCTACAACTTGAAATCGCATTACTGAGACAAGTCATTCGACCACGAATTGTCATTTCTATGAAAAGAAAGTGAAAGTGAAGTGGCTCAGTCATATCCGACTCTTTGCGACCCCATGGACTATAGCCTACCAGACTCCTCCATCCATGGGATTTTCCAGGCAAGAAAACTGGAGTGGGTTGCCATTTCCTTTTCCAGGAGATCTTCCCGACCCAGAGATTGAACCCCGGTCTTCCGCATTGTAGGCAGATGCTTTACGGTCTGAGCCACCAGGGAAGCCTCTGATTTCTATGAAATGACTAGTCAGATTTATAGACAGCAAGTAGAGTGATGATTGCTTAGAACTGAAGACAGGTGAGGGAAATGAGAGTGATTGCTTATGGGTATGGAATTCCCTTCTGAGATGGTAAAGATGTCCTAAAATTAGATTATGGTGATGGTTGCACAACTCTGTGAATATACTACAAAGCATAAAAAAAAAAAGGGGGGTGATGATTGAAAAAAGGAAGAAGTAATCACAGTGAAAGGAGCCCTGCTCAGCTTGGTGGGCAAGGGGCCTTAACCCGAGGACTTGTTTCCCCAGGTTTCTCCAAAGGAGAATCAAAGGGTGGAATAAGGGGCACGTGGAGACGGCTGACAGAGCAACTGAGGTTAAGGAAGAGGAAGATGAAAGGTGATGGTGAGGTTAGTGTGGAAAAAAAGGTCAGCAGAGCAAGTTAGTGCTCTTGAGGGGAAGAAAGGGCGACAAATCATAACCAGCTTTTTTCTCCTTCTCAGGGGATCCTGGTAGGTTTCACATGGAAGTTATCCAGTAGGCCACCTAGAGAGTCGCCCTTCCCCGCGTGGTCAGCTGCTCCACGGCCCACCCCCTTTCCTTTAAAGGCAGATGCGGTCTACCTTCCAGGGGTAGGTGAATCCAGTCGTCTGAATTTTGCTTTGTGTCACTAGTTCTAGGGATTGGAATTGGGGGCACAAACTTGTTCCTGAACACTAGAGGGCGCTGTGAGCATGTAAAGTTTGGGTTAGAGACGGCAGTGCTGAAGGGCACAGGAAGCAGGAAGTAGTTGGGTTAGAGTCTGCGTTGCCTTAGGCTAACGGCAGCCAGACTAGAAAAACGTACTTTGGTTTTTGGAACACAATTGCCACATTCTTAAAATAATGATTTGGCATACATCCCACTGTATTACAATAAAACCAAACCCCAACAGCACTGTTAATTCTGAGAAGAAGGATTTACTTAAACAGTCTGGACATTTCTTTCATCCAATAAACATTTATTGAATGCCTCCTATTCACAAGGTATTGAGTATTTTGATACAACCTAAAACCATAAATTCAGAGAGGGTACCGAGTGCTGCTATTGATGGATTTAAAAAATGAAAACCATGTTATCTGTATGTACATTCATCACACGAACTCAGAATGCAGTAGAATTCTATTCAAAGATGCGGTGTGGTCAGGAAACATCGGATAGAGAAGGAGGGGAAATTGTTGGCTTTTTAATCTAGCTTCCCTGCCAACTCTACTGTGTGAAATTGTAATAATGGTTAAATTTATTTAGTGCACACACACAAAAAAAATTTATTTAGTGCAGACTGTGTGCCAGGCACTGTACTAAGTGCTTTATAGCCTTGATGTGAGAGCATGGTCTGTGGACCAGCAGCATTGCCAGAAACTTGTTAAACATGCAGAATCTCAGGGGCACCTCAGACCTACCGACTCAGAAACTGCGTTTTAGAGAGATTTATATACACATTAAAGTCTCAGAGGCACATAGAAGAGTCTTTGTATTTTCTCATTTAATCTCCATCATGACTTTGGGCTCATTCTCAGTCGTGTCCGACTCTTTGTGACCCACGGACTGTAGCCCACCAGGCTCCTCTCTCCATGGGATTCTCCAGGCAAGAGTACTGTGTGGGTTGCCATTTTGTTCTCCAGGGGATCTTCCTGACCCAGGGATTGAACCTGCATCTCCTGAGTCTCCTACATTGGCAGGCGGGTTCTTTATGACTGAGCCACCTGAGAGGCATAGAGGTAGATTATTATCTCCATTTTAAAATGGGGAACTGACAGAAGGAGAAGTGAAGTAATTTGCCCAGTGCAAAGTTGGGATTGTTTAACTCGGGCAAAATAGCTTCCAGGCTCATACTCTTAATCACATTGCCAAACTTTTCTTAATCTTCTGTCCCTCAAATGCATAAAGCGGGCATAATAAACATGTCTACTTATTATC